GCAAGGGGGACGGGATCCCTGATCGCTTCTCGGGCTCCAGCTCTGGGGCCGACCGCTACTTGACCATCTCCAACCTCCAGCCTGAGGACGAGGCTGACTACTTCTGTGGAGTATCTTATAGCGGCGGTTAAACACAGTGACCCAGGTGGAGGGGGAAGTGGGACAAAAACTGTTTGCTATTCTTCTACCATAACTGACACTGGCTCCCATTATTTTTTTCTAATCATGTTACAAGCAGAGCACCAGAGTTCTGATCCTGCCAAGAGCTCCCTGTGGACAGTCCTGGGCAGGCTCCTGCAGAGCGATGCAGAGAGCACCCAGCTCCTGCCGCCCGGGCTGCTCTGCTGCATGCTCACTGCATGGGGGACGCAGGATGCTTTTCGTTCCAGATGCACACACTGAGCACTTGCGTTACGTGGAAGACCCCACGTACATATGTCCCTAAGGTCCCCACAGGCCCTTCACCCTGCTCACCTGTCCCTATCTGTGACATTGCCTGAAGGCACGTGTGCTCCAAAAAGCCTCCTGCTCATGAGTCCTCCTGCCCTCCTGTGGGGTGGCTGAAGGGAGTGGCTAGAACAGAAGGGCCCAGCCCCCCAGATCCTGTTGGGAGAGCAGAGGTAGAAACGTTCCCTAACTTATTCTACTAAGCCAGAATTACCCTGATACCAAAATTGCTGGTCAGAATGTCAACTGCTATAACTACCATGAAAGAGGAATGTCAAGGGACCAGCAGTTAGCGTAATGGCTATGTCGCTGGACTCCTGTGTATTTGACTGTGGTTCGAGTCCTGGACCCAGTCTTAAACTCATGCTGGGCGCGTGTGTGTGTGCGTGCCCAAGATCCGGAGAGGAGAGTGGAAAAGAAGGGATTGCGGCGTGGCCATCCCCCCTGGGGAGTGATTTCTCGCTTTCTGTCTCTCAGTCTCTCTCTGGCGAGCGCATGCGCCCTATAGCGAAAACCTCTCAAAAAAAACAAAAGAAAGAACAACAAAAAAAAAGAATGTCAAATGTTAGCTACTTAAAAATGACCAAAAATGTATCATATGGCCCAGAAAGTTCACTCTTACAATAACCCAAAATAATTAAAAACACATATTTAGACAAAATGTGTGGACACGTGTTCCTAACAGCACCCTAACAAAGTAGAGAAACAGATGAAACGTCCATCCGTAAACTGGCGTGTGACTAAGATGCGATACATCCATGCAACAGAGTATTCTTCATCCGTACAGCAGTTACGATGGCGGTGTTAGAAAATCCTTGTAAGTGTGAGAAAGTGAATCCAAACATAAAACGTCACATAGTGGGCTGGACGGTGGTGTGGTGGTTAGGGGCGCTGGACTCCCCCATGGCTGACCATGTTTCGAGTCCCAGACCTGGTGGCCTGCTTTCTCATTTTCCCTCTCTCCTTGTGTGTCTTTCTCTGGACAAATTAAAATGATAATGATAAATAAAGTTAAATAAAATGATTCTGTTGTTAAAAAAGTTACATTGTGTCAGGACCATCAGGCGGCATGCTGGCTAAGGCACTGAACACTCCCACATGGCCAACACGGTTCAAGCCCTGGACCCGGTGGCTTGCTTTCTCTTTCTCTCTCTCTCTCTTTCTCTCTCTGATCAAATGAAAATAAGTGAATAAATGAATAAAAACTTGAATAAATAAAAGTTCACATGGAGTTGAGTGAATTTATGTGGAATAGCAATAATGTGTCTATTTATAAAAATACAAACAACCTACTGGTTCCCAGGGTAGAGGAATGCAGAATGGGTGACAACATACTGGCGTGGGGTCTCCTTTGGGTCAGTGACAGTGTTTGGAACTAGGTAGACACGGGGGTTCACCACATGGTGGACACGAATTGATGCTGAATCCTGTACTCTACGTATTTTCCTAATTTTACATTATGTGATTTTTAACTCATTAACAAAATAAAACAGCCAGTGGGCCAGATTCGCCTCTACAGCCTGCAGAGGAGGCTCCTGGGCAGGGAAGAGGCCCCGCCTATCTGAGGAGGGGGCAGAGGCCTAGTGGGTGAGCAGACCAGCTCTCTCTCCCTGGCCCTCTGCTGTGCATCCCAGACCTGGGGGACTCTGGCCCTCGGACGGCAGGGGGCGCTGAGGCCCCATTCAAGAGCAAGCCATCCTGAGAAGACAGGTCACAAGTGTATTTGTCAAAATTGATTTCAACCTTGAAAATAAATACAATTTTATAAGCTGTCTCTTGTATGTCAACATAAAATATCTGTTTTCTGTGTGTACAAAATGAAAGTCAAACAACTGCAAC